ATATATATATATATATATAAGCAGCGGATGAGCATAATTCAAAGTAGTACGGTAAAGCTACACTCTCTTAGGCATGTCTAGAAATTTTGCTTCCAAACACATGTGCGCAACCTAAAACAAGAGGGGGACCAACTACAATTCTGGGCACCCTTTTTCCTTAAACTTGTTAATTTATATCAGACTTTTGTACTAGTAAGTATATAAAACATACGAGAATAATGAAATTATTAATCACTCTGTACAATATATACATATGACAATGAAATAAGGATAATGGGTCAGAAATATTAAAATGCATCTGTACTTTCTATAAGACTTTTTTTAAAAAGAGATTGAACTCAATTACAACATGTTTTTATTACGTAAGAAAACGAAGCCCCCTTTCAAATCAGGGGGGGGGGGGGCTGCCGCTGCCTCTCCCACCCTCTTTGCTGCTGGCCGAAATAAAATAATTCTGGCCCCTAGCTCTGAAACGTGACCCAAACCCTAATTCAATAACTCGCACTTCAGGAGGTGGCTGGATATTATTATCGGTGCGTGGCGCGCACACGCTCTTACTCCGTCGCACGCGAGTGGTGGGTTGCCAAACGTGCAGGCGCTACCTCAATATTTTTAGTCGCTATCTTCCTCCGCTGACTTCGACGATTTAGGCGCCCTAGCTAAAAGCATCCGCACGGGGTCCATCCGCATTCCGAACTCCTTTGCCGGATTATGCATCACTCTCTCCGAATACACTGATCACGTCAATATCCGAAGAACAACACGACTAAATCAGTTTCTAAATAGGGAAGTGATGATTAAAAGGTACTTATAACTTTGAGTCTTCGCAAAGATATTTGTCATCACGCAAGGACATTTGCTGTAAATCAGATTACTATATTCAGGCTTAGAATTAATAGTCATCCTAAAATTGAAGTTTGAATGAAATTGTTTAAGGCTCTTTAGAATGCACTTTCCATCAATCACAATGAGTTCAGATTCCTTTATTTCATCTCTTTTCGTGAAATATAGCATAAAATAAATATCTTTATATTTACTACAATGAGAATGAACAATTATTTCTAACTTTTTAGGGAAAATGTAAGTGCACTTACATAAACACATATCTTATAAGATTCACCACAACAGCAACAACAATAATAATATTAATAATAATATTAATAATAATAATAATTATAATAATAATAATAATAATAATAATAAGAAGAAGAAGAAGAAGAAGGAGAAGAAGAAGAAAAAGAAGAAGAAGAAGAAGAAGAAGAAGAAGAAGAAGAAAAAGAAGAAGAAGAATAGTAAATAATATGAAGAAGCAAACAAAGAAGAAGAAGGAGGAGGAGGAAGAGGAGTAGAAATAGTAGGAGAAGGAGGACAAGGAAAAGGATGTTGAAAGAAAACGAAAAAAGGAGAAAAAATAAAAGAAAAATTAAGCAAGAATAATGGATGATAAACGTAGAACGCGAGCGAAAGAGGAGGCGCTCGCGATTTGCCCTCGTTGTGGGCCACGATGCAAACACCAGTAAGCGGAATACATTTTTTTTTGAGTCGCGCGAGATCCCTGGGGAACGCCCTTTGTTTGGTGGTCTGTCGACACGCGGCGTGGCGGTGCCTCCGAACGAGGGCTGCCACACCCCTCTCCCACTGCCTCTCCCTCCCCCGCCCCTTCCTCCTTCGGTGCACAGCGGCGCAGAGCCGCGCGGGCGCACGAGACTAAAAATAATGGCGCGGATAACAGTACTCGCCGGCGCTGCCGACCCGCTGCCGGATCACGGAGCGCGCGGGTGGGGGCGGGAGGCGGGAGGGGCGGCAGGTAGCAGTGGGTGAGCAGGTAAGTGGGTGGCAGCAGACCGGACTAGCTGCCACTGCCGCAGCACAATGGTCCCAAATGGGCCAAGAGGTGCACGAACAGAAAAGGAAAATATTGAAACAGGTTTCCACAACAATGTAGCTTATCTTTGAGTTCCATTTTCGAGAAAATTAGTTCTCAAACCAAACAAGAGTAATTTTATTTTAGTATGACACTTTTACTGGTATATTCGCCTATTTTTTTAAAAAATACATAGGAACCCGCATGTATTTCGCGGTTATGAGGAATAATTGTGAATATAATATTTTCTAAAAAATAAAATATGAAATGACAAAAGCTATGAGGTAAAATCGGCACCCTTTAAAATTAGTAATTTGACCAGAATTTGAAGGGGCTCCTTGCCAGAATGCTTTAGCACGGACCTTTTGGTGTTGAGAATGACATAATGATTTTTTTCCGAATCACTGACGCGTTCATATCGTTCAGAAACACACGGCATGGAGAACGACAAACGGATGAATTTTTAAACAGTTAAAAATTCGATATATTTACGAATTTGTATTTCATAAAGTTTTATAATATACAATTTTAAACATTCTGAACTGAATTGCTCATGGAATGGCAATGAAGGAGATGCAAATATGTTCTCCTTGAAATAAATAGTATATTGAAGATACTTCAAGACCATATTCATATTTTTATTTCTGAGTTGTAGAGGAAAATACTTACAAGAAGGGCTACTTCAATAGTGAAAATAACTCAACATTGTAGAATCAAAAAAATAAAAAGTTAAAAGAAATATTGAAATGTAACAGTTTAAGTTTTTTCATTAATTCTATTCATTCTACATACTTTGACGGCCTTTTGAGGGGAAACGTTATCGTAGACGACAGAATCTAAACTTGTACTTTTAACAGAGTATTCCTAATGAAAGTAAACATAAATGTAAACACAGCGTCTGATCGACATCAAGACAATAAATACTAGGCGCAGAAAGATAAACACATTTCACGACTTGACATAAAATGCACTATTACCTATTGACGGAGAACATATTTCCAGGCAATTGTTGAACATCAATCAAACTGTGACAGCGACAAAGCAGAAAAATAAGCACTTTGTTCCCTATCCTTCAAATCCAATTTATCATGAATTTATCCTTCTAACCCGACTTTTAAAAAACACTCATAATTAGTCCTAATTTGCGCCGGCAGTGGCGAAAGAGGGTAACACGGGCGTCATGTCCCCTGCCTACCTCCTCAAAGGCAACATTTTCTTCCAATTTCACTCATATTTTCAGAATAATTATAAATATGCTCATTGTATCTGCATTCATGTTCAACGCCAAAAACGAAAAATATTTTTTTCAATCTAACAATTTGACAAACAAATATTTCAATTTTTTTAATGAGAGTTTGGACAGAAATTGGTGACCCTGAAACCGGCACTGGTTCCCACCATGCTGTGTGCCCGGGCTAGGGATGGCAAAAAATGAATGATTATAAAACATCAATAAAATTGCGACCACAATCATCAATGTTTTACTTTCGATGTTTTCGTCAGATCAATATCTTTGTTCAGAAACATGAATGTTTTCAAAAACAATTTCTCATGATATAAATATAATTTCCAGATTTTTTTGATGAATTGCTCGCAATTTAATAGTCATTCACTGTTGTCCATCCCCAGACCGTACGGAACAGTCTGCTAATTATCATTATTTTTTACGAGTACCTACATTTTATTTTTTGATTGTTTTTTACGTTTACCTGCATTTTAAACCTTGATTACAAAGAACATTGATTAAAAAATTAAGAGGACAGTAAAATTCAAAGCAGAATATACATTAAACTAATAATGACATGTTATGTATCACATTAGAACCATGACATTTTGCTTCGATAGGTTTCATCATGTATTAAAACACCTATATGCTAAACATCGGCATCGAAAACCTTATGATCTATCTATTTAGCGGTTTTTTTACAGCCTTGGCCGTTTTCCGCATCCCAATTTCCATGCCTCTTTATCCCAAACTTCGTTTTCTTCCATTTCTCTTTTTTTCATGGCTTCAGTTATTGCCATGTTCCATGTTCTTCTCGGTCTTCCCCTGTATCTTCTTCGATTTGGTATCCACTCCCAAAATTTTTGTGTAAACTATATGAGGAAGATTTCAACCTTCTCATATGTCCATACCATTTTAGTTGTCTGATTTCGATTGTATCGTTCAAGGTTGTTTGCATTTTCATTTTATTTCTTATTTCATCATTTCTTATTTTATCTAACAGAGAAAGTTTACAACATCTTCACCAGAACATCATTTCTGTTGATTGAAAACCTTATGATGACGTATCGAAAAATCGAGGTTTTGTAAACTGTGCCATCAGCAGCCCTGGGCCCACTGCAGGCGCCAGGCGCGGGCGCGGGCGGCGGTTAGCGCGTGCTCGTGAAGGCGCGGGGCGGGGAAAGGGGGCGTGGCGGAGGCGGCGAGAGACGCGGAGCAAGAGGAGCAGACTCACGGGAGACGACAGCACACGGCGCCGGCTGGTCTCCATCGCCCGCCGCCAAAACAGACGCCAGCGCCGCGCCGCCTCCTTGCGAAAGCCCGGCTGCTCGCTGCTTACCCTGCGCACAAGAAATACGCACACGGTTAGGACGGAACATGTCATTCTCACACCCAACGCATTCACGCTCAACTGCATCAAACTAACAAATTTAAACAAAAAACATTACTTGCTGCTTAACCTGCGCACACGAAATATGCACACGGTTAGAACGAAACATGTCGTTCTTACTCCCAATGCATTCACGCTCAACTGGATCAAACTAACAAATATAACAAATTTAAACAAAAAATAGTACTTGCTGCTTACCCTGGGCACAAGAAATACGCACACGGTTAGGACGGAACATGTCATTCTCACACCCAACGCATTCAAGCTCAACCCTATCAAAAAAATGAAATTAACAAATTTAAACAAAAAAACATTACTTGCTGCTTACCCTGGGCACAAGAAACACGCACACGGTTAGAACGAAACATGTCATTCTCACACCCAATGCATTCACGCTCAACTGGATCAAACAAACAAAATTAACAAATTTAAACAAAAAAACATTAACAGTGATGTTATGAATTGATTAGATATTTATAGGGCGTTATAAAGGTCCTCATGATCGAGCATCGACAAAAAGCAAGAGGGCCTTTTGCCCCGAGATCTTTAGGACCAGTTAACGCTTGTGATACCTAAAATATTTTATTTATTTAATTTTAATGTTTCCTATTTACTTATTTACGCTATTCGTATTTCCCTCCCAAAATTCACTTTCGTAATTCCCGCCGTAAGAAAACGTAGCAACCTTTAACTGTTTTCATGTTTCTCTCGTCACCATGATCCTCCCCATCCAGGGAAGTAATGTATATTGTGCTCCGTACGGAAGACAATTACAAATAATAACGTATTAATGAAATTAAAGTAAGTATTTGATTGACACTTGTAGGACTGTCATACTTCCATCGAGACCACTGATTACAAAACTCAATTTTAGAATAGAATGATAAATAAACCGTTGGAAACCTTTTGATTACGTCATGTACCAACAAGAGTCTGTCGCATTATTATTAATTGGACCTTAGTAAGATATACTCGTATGAATCAAGTATTTGGCTTCGACTATGACAGGGGACATAGAAGAATATCAACAAGAATATCTTTCACAGCCAAACTGAATTTTATGTTGTCATTACAAGTGGACTGCATTAACTGTCAGGCGAAAATAAATAGATTTATGACTGATTAAAATAAATATATATTTTGGTGCCCTCATATTTCATGCCAACTGGGAACAAAACTTATTTATGCTAAAACGCACCACGAACTGGAGGAGAAAATCGTAACTCGTGTGGCAAAATTGTTTAATAAGCAAGATTTGCTCTTGTGTTAAACAGTATTGAATCTATTTGTTCCTTGTAGCAAACTGTACCTGACACTGAGACAAGAAGGACCAGTAGTATGTAATGTATTTTCATTTATCTCATTAAAGAACGAGATTCTCCTATGGCGCTTTCTCCAGCTTACTGCCTAACTGTATAGAGAGATAATGTGTTACATCGAATGCAGCGGATGAGCTGGCGTTTCACATGCCTAACATTCCAAAGGGCTCAGGTAAAAATCCGTGCTGACCAACGCCCAACACTGGCAGGAATGCAGAGCCAGAATAACTTTACGGAAGGTATTATGCGAGTCGGGCGATATTAGTGGTTAAAGGGAGAACTGTCGGAGAAGGGGACGGAGTCATTTGCAACCTTTATTCAGATCCTTGCCTTACAGTTATTTGTCATCGTAACACTAGCATACTTCAACATAATTGAGATCGAAGTAATATTCTAATGTTGAAACGAAAAAAAAATACAACTAAGAAAAGGGATCAAAAGAAAACATTTCATTACATGTATTTGAACTGCGATACTTCCTCTTCTCTATTCTCTCTATATTATTTTTCTCGATATATTTCTCTCTGCCTCAATACGCGAGGCAGAGAGAAAGAATATTGAAAACCAGTTGTAAAACCGTGCATGAAGCTCTTTGATTCGCCAGTGGCCCTGGCGAGACGGTTATCCATTAGCCAAGGGGAATAAAGGCCTCAGGTCTTCGGTTTATGAGGCAAAAAAGCGGACACTACGTAAATATATAAATTGAGACTAACGTAGCCAACAGAAGAATTCGGGAGTCTAAGGCTTTGGTTTGCAACCTACGGTTCACGAACGGGTGATTTTTTAAAGAGGAAGCGTACGTGTTTTCTTAGTCTTGCTGTTTTTTCTCACTTACACACTCACACTTTTATTCTCAACGCAATCATACCTATCACTCAAACTTTACTGTATATTACATGTGACTCAGAATAAAAGTTATAAACTTCAAGGGCATGTAAAAGGGTAAAAAATGACTAGTTTTTGACAGTGAACACATAGAGAAAATTTTTATATAACGAAATATGGATTTATACAAGTGAGATTTGTCCCTGTTTTTTAGGCAACTTCTTATGCCCAGATGTTCGGAAGGTCGCGTTGTATCGCTGTCAAGGAGATTTCGTGTAGGAGACGAACATCTGTGCATACGGGTTGCCTAACATAGGAGGAAAATGTATATGTTACATTGGATTGATTGATTTATTAGTTATTCATCAATCTCGTAGTGCATGCGTTCGTTTTATCGCCGAAGATGTGCTACATTGGAATATACATCAAATGCATATATACTCGTACATATAAGGCCATTTTATGAAATTCCCCACTATATATGGGTGGGGGTGGCAAAATGTGATCATTTCGCCCCCTCTACAAATTCTATAAGTTTCAATCATTTTCCTGAATCATTCCGTACGTACAGTTGACAACACGCGTGCAGCCCGCCACCTGCGCCACGGGA